TTTCCTTGTTTGTTCACGTACCCTTATGATCTATGTTGGGGACCCCAGTTTGGGCAACACTGCTATACACTACACAGCACTTTCTCTGGGAATCATATATCATATGTGTAGGGAAGGTGAATATATTTTCATATTATTTTTTATATTGCTTTCATGGTGCCTAATTGAATAGAATTGTTAAATATATTAATGTATTTTTCCTAGCTGTAAAAGTTCTCTATCATGTAGAAGGAATGCTGTAAAATGAATAAACAAGGAATTATGTGTTGACTGTAGTGTAATATATCAATTAAACAATAAAAGTGACAAAGAATAATGAGGGTATTAGGTGACATAAAAAAAAATCAGGCAACTGTTATCATGTTTATGTTTATCTTGGCTTATAGCTACATACCTTTTTATAATTTTTAGGTACGACACATCCTGTGTGAGAAGCAGAGCAAGTCATTAGAAGCCCTTGAAAAACTCAAATCAGGCATGAAGTTTAATGAAGTTGCTGCCCAGTATTCAGAAGATAAGGCTCGAAGTGGGGTAAGATTTATTTTTATAAAGTTTGTTTGAAGAATAGAACAAAAATATCAGCCATTTTATGTTGATTTTTAAACATTATATTGAAAGTACCCTACTGCATTAGGTTGAAAGTTTACTGAAATTCAAATGATTTTGCAAAAGTCCTTACACATTTAGTATATCACTGATAAGTTTCATCTTTTTATCCTCTTGATACCTTGAATTCATCTGAACCTGCACAGTCCAATGTATGTTGAATTTTTAATATTAATAACTATAATGATAATAATACTGGTAGTATAAATAATTTATTAAAAAGTAGGCATTGTTATGGATTGGTGACTAAGTACTTCTGGAGCCATGTATGAAGAGTAATGAAACAAAACAAGACAAAGGACAGTGCATGTTACTTGCTTCACTGGATTCAAAATGCATTCACTTTATAGCATATCTCCTGAACCATTGTGATGTATACATGATCTAGAGTTAATTTGCCATTTCCCCTTTAATGAGATCAACAAAATGTTTAATGCATTATTCTAATCTTTAACTATTTTGACACATTCAATAAATTTCAGGGTGACCTTGGCTGGATGACAAGAGGCTCAATGGTTGGACCCTTTCAAGATGCAGCCTTTGCTTTGCCCGTTTCATCTCTAGGAAATGCAGTGTACACAGATCCACCTGTGAAAACTAAATTTGGCTACCACATTATTATGGTGGAGGGTAAAAAGTGATGAAAGTTATTTGGTATAATTTTTAATTTCATTTATTTCAATGTGCATGTGAGTTCCATACGAAAGTTCCAGATGAAAATGTATCCGGATTTCGAAGACATAGGAAGAGGAATGGTGACAATAAACATAATCAATTAATCATTAGTTTTATTCATGTATAACAGAATTTCCAAAAATAAAATCACTTTCTGATGTAAAATAACAAAATAGATTTATAGTTCACAATTACAAAATATATGGTCATAATTTTCACAAAAGTAGTAACCACAAAATCTTTTTTTTGGTATGTTCATTGGTTAACATTCCAGAAATAAGGTATGCAGTTAAAATGTTTTCTAATTTGAGTAAACTTAAAATGCAATAAAGTAGTCCTCATTTCTTTTAAAACTCAAATTTATAAGTATACAAAAACAAAATTTAACTACCCAAAACAAATGATTTTTATACTAAACCGGAGTCCATTAATATGACAAAAAATAAGAATTACAAACCTGCTGTTCATACACAAATTTCAAACTACAAATAAAAAAAATCACTGGTAAGGAGCCAATTCCTCCACACAAAATTAAAAGATATATTTTCCCCCTTAGTTTCTGTGATTAAACTTCACAATGATCAGATTAATTAACTACATGAAAAAGTAGTTTGAAATATATTTTGCACTGATAAGTAACTTTTTATTGATCTTTTCTTTTACTTATTTATTTATTATTATAATTATTATTATTATTTAATGGACTACATTTTGACTGTAGTAATTACTTACTATTTCTTTCTATCTAGACCAACATCAAATCCATTGCAGTAATAGAAATAATATTAATGGAGGAAATCTTGAACATTTAATCAATAATAGCAATTAGAATCTTCTGGATTATATTTGAAATGTTACTGTGTAGCTACAACACTGGCATAAGGCAGATAAACTTTTTATAATGAAGTATGACAGAAAATATGTGCAAATACAAAGAAGTACTATGATGAAATAGTTTGAACCACCTGATAACTAAATGGAGCATTTGCTTGAGGACTGACAGCATACTGAAAAAAACTTTTTTGCTTCATCTTATCTTGTCGGACTTTCTTCATCCTGAAACATGAAAGTATTTGTGTTAGTGATAAAATAATATAGACATCTTTCTCCTCTGTGTGGACATACAACCAGATTCAGAATAAAATAAAATAAATTTTACCTGTCCTAGGATGCCTGAATCATCACTTTCACTTGAGTTGTCAGGAACAACTTTTTTTCTTGTCCTACAGGCTCTCTTTGCTTGGGGCTCAAATATGTCTTGCCTTACTGAGTCTGAAGAAATGTGTGACAATCCTGGAAAGTAACACGTACATTTAAATACTTTGCTACTTCAAGATTATGGTTAAAATCAAATTATTTCAATACAAGTTCGTGCAATAAACAACAATAAGGAAGGCAAAATCATTAATTGATAGCAAAGGAGTACGAGGAGAGAAAAAAAGTGTGGGGGGGGGGGGGGAAATTGATGTAGAAAATACTAACCTCTGAATTTCCGTTTATAAAATGCAGAGCTACCTGGTCGTGGAGTACTCAGTTCACTGCGGACCTTGAAATGAATATGTTTCAGTCACTAGTTGTACCACTTTTGCTTTGGGAGAATCTTAAAGATGAGTAGTGTTAAAAGTAATGTAAAATCTACAACAATTACAAACTCGTGGCAGAGAGAGTACATGTATACAAGCAATGTCAATTGTGCTTTTGTTCTATTTATTTTATTCATTTATTTTCATTTTATTATACAGATTGCTCCACAAATGCTTTGTCAATCAAGGAGGAAATTAATAGGCATATTTGACCTCATTTATTTACCCTACTTCTTGATTTTCTGAAAAGATTTGATTTTCATTACAACTATTATCATTCAAGGAACAAGGATCTGGTCATTTTGGTTTAATATAAATACAAAACAATACAATATAATAATAACGATGATGATGATGATGATGATAATAAATATATGCACCAAAGACACTTTTCTGACAATTCTATAATTGTTGTTTGTTCCCTTATTATGAAATAATTTTATTTTGTGACATACTATATTAATGAAGGGAAATTCTTGCAGAGGTATGCAAATCAGGTGACACTTTTTCTCCCAACCATATCTAGCCCCTCTCTCACTGAGGAGGAAGTTCTCTTTGGGCAAACTTTTTCAAACTTTGCAAACTATACAATCTTAGTATGCAAATTATGGTACAAAAGTGCCAATTAACTCCTAGCCGCCGGTTGCCATGTATATACATGCCATGGCTGTTATGGACCAAGTAGTATGCAGTATCACATCATGACCATTCCCACGCTGTCAGCTCATCGGATAGAGCTTATTTTTACGAGTAGCAGCATAGTTTCTATGGTGGAAGTTTTAGGTAATAGACCTAAAGTAATGATAAATCTTCACATTTTAATTTTTTTCATTATATCAAAATATAAGCTTTTAGATGCCTAATGTTGCTCACAAATGGGATATTTGATGCAGGTCAGCAAACCTGTGTTAATAACCATGAGCCAAATTTTCAATCCAGTGTTAATGGGTTCATTTCTAAAAGTGAATTGAGAACTGATTTACGAGAACATTGAGAATTACCAGACCAAGAGACACACATATATCTAAAAAGATGCAAACACAGGTGTTATTTAAATAAATCCAGAAACAACACAACACAAAATGCAATATAAAGAATCTACCTGCGGTGTTGAACGATAGAGAGGATGAGAAGGAATACTCCTGTTGGACTGACTACTGTACTCCTCAATGACCACAGAACTTGACGAGGATGGAGATGATAGCAACAAACTGGAATCTGCAGGTTTTCTCCTCCTCAATCTCAATGAACTTCGTTTCACCTCCTCTGTTTGGATTTCAAGGCTACAGAGAAGAAATGGAGAGATAAAATAATGTTTATAATGTGTTTATTACATAAATAACCATTTCACACTTGTTCCTATTTACTTTTCAAGTACATTACCATCATTAGTCTATATAATTCAATCTATAAAATTTACTTAAGCTTTTCCTTATCCAATATTTTCAATAGTACAATTTGTAAGTATTTTACCATACAAAAACAAAAAAATCACTCTGATATCTGAAAGAAAACATACCATGGCTTCTTTCTAGTTTTCCTCTGAGACCTTTTCCTTGATTGGAACCTGAAAGAAGTGAAACCAAAGACATAAGGCCCTAGAATACTTTCGTATATGAATTAGGGGTAAAGTGAAAACCGTAGAGACAGTAAATAGGTTGGTAAATAGGTAGACAGGTACGTGAAGGAGAGAGACTCACTAGAATTCAGAGGCCTGTGACAATCATAGCAATCCAACTTGCGAGGCTGAAATAAATATGGGCAGTTGGATAATGCCAAATTATAATATCATGAATGAGGTAAAGAGATGAAGTGTTTACTGTGACCTAACTTGAAGTCATAAGGTTACAAAATCGTGATTACGTTAGGATGATGTTTCTCTGCTTAAGCAGAAGGATGAAAATAAATGCTACTTATGTGTGCATTTAGTATAGTGCCATTCCTAACAATCAATAACAATATATCACACAAAATCAGAATAAGAGCTTCCACAATGTGCATGAAAAAAAGAAGGAAGGATGGAGGGGGGATGATAACAAGGAAGGAAAGAGGGAGGGAGGAGAAGGGAAGGGA